GTGCTGGCTCAAAAACGCTTTGTTAATCAGGATGCACTTGTAAAGTTTTCTTTGTTGTTTGATCCTAGTTCCTTTTCGAATTGTACAGACAGTGAAACATTTATGGACTACTTTAATGGTCATTGTTTGGATATTCTAAATCAGGTGGCTCCGGTTAAACATTGTTCGGCTTCTTATAAAAAGCTGTGTCCATGGATGAGTGAAGCTATTTGTAGCTATAAAAGAGACTGTCGTAAAGCAGAGCGTCTGTGGAAAGCCAGTAGGCTGGAAGTTCGCAGACTCCATTTTAAACATATGATTATGGAGCTAAATGAAATGATAAAGCAGGCAAGATCAGCATATTTTTCTCATTTGGTTTCCATAAACAGGAAAAAACCTAAAGTTTTGTTTGATACGATCCATAATATTGTTGCATCGTTAGTTCCCCAAGTTCCTGTTCATATGGCAGAGGACTGTAATGTGTTTTTGAACTTCTTCATGGATAAAATACGAGATATCAGGGCCAGCATTAATCCTAGCCTGGTGAGTGTTAATACGGAAGTATCTTGTGTGGGTCTCTGGTCATCCTTCACTCTTGTTACACTTCAGGATGTGATTACGCTAATGGGCAGGGTTAATCCATCAACTAGCCCTGTTGACATTTTACCGACATCTTTGGTTTTAAGCAAGGCCGATTTGCTTGGGCCCTGGATTATGAAATTGTTAAATCTTTCACTTGAAACAGGATCCGTCCCTTGCTATTTTAAGCATGCACTTATTAATCCTATTCTTAAAAAGTCGACTCTTGACCATTCTGAGCCAAAAAACTATAGGCCAATATCAAAGCTCCCTTTCATGTCAAAAATCCTGGAAAAAGCGGTAGCAGGACAGCTGATCGCTTATATGGAACAGAATAAATTATTTGACGATTTTCAGTCAGGGTTTCGTAAAATGCATTCTACTGAGACTGCCCTACTTAAAGTCTCAAACGACATAAGGATGGCCGCAGACTCTGGTCGTTATACTGTCCTCATTGTATTAGATTTGACATCTGCTTTTGACACTGTGGACCATGGAACT